TCCCGAAAATTTTCCCTGTGGCCTCCCCCCCCCCCCCCCCCCGTTCCAGATAGCTGATCGAGGAACAATCCTACTCAGGTGCTTTAATGCTTAATAGCTGATCATAGACGATCATAATATTTTTTACCCAACAATTTCTGCAGCAGAAAAAGGGCAATAACACTCTCCAAACATTTCTCTCCAAACATTCTCCAACATTTCTTCTCTCCAACTTTAGAAAAAAGTTGGGGAGAAAAAAAAAGTTTTTTGCTCTTTTACAAAAGATGAACGGCATTCCTTTCTCTTCCCCCCTTTTAAACTTTTCTGTCAGAACAAAAACAGAAAATAAAAACAAAACAACAACAATTGCTTGTTGTCATCACTTTTCTGTTTTTCTTTTATTTTTCTTAATCTTTCTTCTTTTAATCACTTTAAATAAAAGTGTTACAAATATTTTTATTTATTTTTTGGTTTCTGTCAAATGGCAAAAAACGGCCAAAGGCTAAAAAATTGAAAATAAATTGGATTTGTGATAGAAAAAGGAGAAAAATTGCCCTTTTGAGCTTAAAAGAACTTTATCTTTTATCCGTCTAATCGTCTACCGTATCAGGACAGTTCACCATACGAACAGTTCTTCGTATAGTGAATTTTTGTTTGTTCAGCGAATTGTCTATATGGTGAATTACCCTTGGTTTTGTTGAACATTAAAAACTACAATTAGGACAGTTCACCATTCGGACAATTAATATGGAGTTAACGGTGAATTGTCTATATCGTGATTTACCCCATACGGCGGACTGTCTTTTGGTGAACTGTCTTAATGCCTCAAAAACCTATCGCAAAAATATTGCCCCTGGGCAGAGATTTGTGTCAAAATGAGAGAAATTTGCGTTATTGGCCAAACACTATTAGATCACAAATTATTTCTTCCAGGCCAAAGTGTTTTACTTTTTAAGGAAGTATATTTAAACATCAAATTCAAAAGTGTCATAAGGAAATGATTGCCATCTTCAATTAAAATTTTTATGAATGATAACTAGCGTTCAGGGCGTTGCCACCTGAGTCGATTGAAACTGCTGTCTCTAGCGTTTTTGGTAGTGGGTATGGATAAGTATATAAAAATTTTGAGAAAACCCGTAAAAAATTGTTAACTTTTATGAGGATCATTGATTAATTTGAAAGAAATTTAATTTTTTTCCTGAGAACAGTTGATCAGAAAATTTTATAACAATTATTTTTAGACTCAGCTTGATAAGAGCATTCGAATGATAAATCATTTGACCCATTTATCTTTATTTCCTGAAAAATTATTTTTTTGGCCCGAAATCGTGGTCGAAAAATTACTCTAAATTTTTAAAAAATCTTAACTTTTTCTAAGTATAACTTTTTTGATTATTTTAAAGTTCCATTTTATGTAGAAAAATACGTTCTTTACAGGAAAAATAATTTCACTCAGCTCCAATTACAAAAAAACCAAAAAATTTTCGAAAAAACGAAAAATTTTGGATTTTGAAAAAATTGACCCCTACTCCTCCAGGTAAGAAAATTTTCAAAGTTTCTTTATCTTAAAAAATTTGTAATTTTTTGCTCTTATTCATAAAAGAAACTATATACGAAAATATAAATTTATTAAAAAGTTATTGCAATTCTAACATTTCCGGATATTTTTGTAAAGGGGAAAAAAACGAAAAATTTTGATTATTTTAAAGTTCCATTTTATGTAGAAAAATACGTTCTTTACAGGAAAAATAATTTCACTCAGCTCCAATTACAAAAAAACCAAAAAATTTCCTTATGAAAAATTTCCTTAAAACCAAAAAATTTCCTTATGAAAAAAATCGGGGGAAAATTTTTATTATAATTTTGCTAAAAAATATGATTTATAGTGTAACCGCATACGCTGAATCCGAATCCGTTCACAGAAAAATGTTAAAAAATTTTTCCACAAAGTTAAAGTCTTATAAATATTCAGCCTCAGACTTTTATGAGGATATTGTTTAATTTGAAAAAATTTTATTTTTTTACTTGAGCACAGTTGATTAGAAAATTTTACAAAAATTATTTTTAGACTTATCTTGATAAGAGCTTTTGAATGATATATCATTTGACCAATTTATCGTTATTTTTTTAAAAATTATTTTTTGGCTCGAAATCATGGTCGAAAAATGGCGCTAAATTTTTAAAAAATTATAACTTTTTCAAAGCATAACTTTTTCAAATATTTTAAATTCCTAAAATATTTAGAAAAATAATCTCTTTATAGGAAAAATACTTTCACCTATCAAAAATATCGAAAAACTAAAAAATATTGCAAAAAACTGAAAAATTTTGGATTTCATAAAAATTGAACCCTACCCATTATGTACGAAATTTTTCAACGTTTCTTGATTTTAAAAAATTTCTAATTTTTTGCTCTTATTTATGAAAAAAACTACTTACGAAAATATTAACCCTTAAAAAGATATGACAAATTGAGTTTTTCCGGCTTTTTAAAAAGGGGGACCACTATAGAAAAAATCGGGGGAACAAAATTTTTTAGTTTCAGCTGAAAAAATGTGATTTATACTGGAACCGCATATGCTGAATCCGAAAATATTATCAGAATAATTCTATAAAAATTGTCAATAAAATTAGAGTTTTGGAAAATTTCAGTCTCAGATTTTTTTTGAATTTTTTAAATTAAATATTTTTAAATAGAGATAAATTATAAGAAAGTGTTGGTCACTTTTGAACACTTTCAGTGTCTTGTTATAGAAGTTTGTGTCACTCCATTATAATATTGAGTTATCTTCAATATGAATCTTACTGATAATTTTTAAAAATGTTGTCAATATTTCGGTCGAAATTAAGTTAAAAAATCTAATTGGTACTTTTGGAAATATTAAGAAATTACTATTTAAAATAAATAACTTAATATAAAATAAATCTTAGACTCTTTAGAAATCAATACTACTATTAAAAATACTTAATACAATGAAAATTCAAAATTTTATTATTAAAAAATCTGTTAAAACAAACATCAAAATAAAATAATTTAACAAAAAATAATTTAAACAAAATATAATAAAAAAATATAAGGAGCCAAAAACTTGTGAAAATTTGAATTCTTAGGAATGAGTGAGATGTGTTACACATCCCTCCCCAAACCTAAAATAAAAGTTATTGTAACTTTAATTAACAAAATTTAATTATAAAATTTTTTGGCGCAATATAAATAAGGCAACTAATATTATTGAATTAAAGAAAGCAAAAAAATATACATGAAACAAAATAACACAAAATAAATTAAACAAAGTATAATATCGAGAAAAAATACAAGGAGCCAAAAAGTAATGAAAATTTGAATTCTTAGGAATGAGTGAGATGCGTTACACATCCCTCCCCAAACCTAAAATGAGAGTTATGTTACTTTAAAAACAAAATTAAATATGTTTTAAGGAAATTTTAAATATAATTTTATGGCTCAATATATAAAAATAAAACTTAAAATAAAATTAAATGGCTAAGCAAATAAAGAAACAAATTAAACAAAAAATAAGCTAAACAAAACATAATTAAAAGAAAATTATAAGGAGCCAAAAAGTAAATATAATTTGAATTCTTAGGAATGAGTGAGATGCATTACTCATCCCTCCCCAAACCTAAAATAAGTGTAATGTTACGTTAAAAACAAAATTTAAATATATTTTAAATAAAATTTAAATATGATTTTTTTGGCTCAATATATAAAAATGAAACTTAAACATTTAAATTAAAATAACAAAACAAATAACAAACAATATAATAACACAATATAATAATTTAAAATCAAAGCATGCATTTAAACATTCAAAAATTCAAACATCTATAACCAAACCATAACATAAACAAAAGGTCAACGAACTTAAACAGTAAATCCAAATAACTTAAAATCCAATACAATCCAATAACAATACACCATACAAAATATTTTCAACATAAATTTCAATTTCATCCTTAATAAATTATTTACATATTATTATATAAGATTAACTACATACATTTATTCACACAATTATTAATATCTTTTCAAAAAACCCAAACAACTTGAAATCCACTCAAAATATTAACATAGCTATCAAAATATTCACAAAAAACCTAACATTTCTCCTTAAAAAACTATATATATTATTTTATAATTTAAACTACATACAATTATTCTAGCAATTATAAATAACTTTTCACAAAAATCCAAAGTAATTCTAACCATAACATCCAGTTAAATACAAATCAAATCCAAAACATGACTCAACATCCAAAATATAAGCAAAATAAATCTCATTTCCTCCTTAACGAAAATTATAACTATTATTGAAAAATACATACATTCAGCCAATCAAAATCCAAAGAATGAAATCCAGATATTAAAAAAATTATAATCCAAAAATATCATAAACCCAAAAAACTTTAGATCCAAAACATCCAATTAAATTAAAATCCTTAACATCCAACGAACTTAAAATCAACAACCGAACAACATAAATCCAATACAAAAATAATTCAACATCCAAAATATATTCAAAACAAATAACTATTCCTCCTTAAAAATTTTTAAATATAATCAATAATTTAAACTATATACATTTTTCCAAACAATTATAGCATCCTTTTCCAAAAATCCAAAAAACATAAAATTCAAAAAAATTAATAACCAAAACACAGGAACTAAACAATCCAAAACATCCCAATAACAAAAAGAAAAGACCAAATATTCTTAATCCAAAAAATAAAGAGCAAACAAATACCTTTAAAAACAAAAATTCAAAGTAATATTTAGAAATTTAAAATCTCATACATATTATAAAATCAAATCAAATACAAATCGTCATTTATTCAAAATCTCCAAAAATCTCCAAACATATTTCATATTCTTTATTGCGGCGTCCAAGGCTCCAAAGGAACATCACTCAACAACTCTAAAAGCCTTACATTATCATCACCATGTTCAACAGGCATTGGACGCTTAAATTTTGAATTAATTTTTATTTTTAATTTAATCAAAGTTAGTTAAAATATTCTACCAGATATATTGGTCGATAGTGTATGCCTTCAAGTCGGAGGACGATGGTGTTGTCCATATTGTGAGCACGGAGTATTGCAAAAATTTGTCCAAAGTCCGTGATACGTGTCAAACCCATCTCTTCTGCTGAAAGGCCAGGAGAGAGGAATATCCCTTGATATTCGTTGGTCATATTTCGCCAATGAGAACGTCCGTTTGCATCAATTACACGTTGTCGACGATTTTCAACGATCAGAATGCGTCGGCCAAGAACGATTTCAGCATATCGAATTTCAAGATGCGATCCATAACGTGTATTGTTGTTGTTTGCTGGTTGCATCATGTGAAGACTATATTCTCGCATAGATCTTCGAGGATCTGTCACATCCAAACGAAGTCCAGCTTGTCGAATATGTGGAGCGTCCCATTCGATCTCATGAATGCGCTCGTCTGTTAGATGTTCATCTGCGATATTGTGCAGGTCTTCCTGGTAACGGCGAGCAATAAGCCTCCTTAGTCCTCGTTGATAATCTTCATATAAAGGATTAACGTGTAAGGCCAATCCTTCTGATCCAGCATATAATGCACGAACAATAGACCTATATTATTTATTATAAAAATAAGATTAATCAATTAACCGAAATAGACAATCTCCATCACCGAGCACATTATCAAGAAAACAATTTGGCAAATCAGCAGATCTTTGTTGTGTATTTTGTTCAATAGTTGGCGATGTTGTTGCCTGTGAAGCATCATTAGCCGATGTTGTTGGCATTGGTTGAATTATAGCGTTAGCCGATGTTGTTGGTGTTGTGAGATAAAAGCAGTAGACGATGTTGTTGTCTAAATTAATCAAGATTTTTTAAATCTTTTTAAAAATACCTGTTCATGTGGTATACGTTCGATGAGAACTGGTTCATCGCCGGATGACATGGCGAGTTCCATTGGCCCAAGTTCATTAAAGTCTTCTTCGTCAATCATTGCAGGAATGACTGGATTCTTCACTCTGCGGTCTTTGCGGAGTGTTGCAACCTTAACACTTTCTGCGTCACGTGCTCTTGAAAGAGCCACATAAAGTTGTCCATGAGAAAAGCACTGAGAATTGGCTAAAATATATTTTACAGCAATTTTTTAAAAGTTTATTTACCCTTGAGACTTATTAATGGTCATGACGGCACCTGGACGCAATGGAAATTGAACTCGTTCTACTCGAACCATGCCTTCTTGTGGGGCTTTTGGATCGGCACCATACAAAAAACGCGTTCGAAATAGATCAAAGTCATTGCCTTTTCCAGAACCTGATAGAATACGACAACGAATCAAATTATGGCCAAGACCTATAATTTGAACTCGCGTTCCATTGCATAAACCATTTTGAACCTATAATTAAATTATAAAATCAGTACTAAAATTAAATAATTACAGATAGATTTATTATTAGCATCATGATTGATCCCACACGTACTCTAAGCATATGTTCAGGAACGCCAGGTGGTGTTTGCCTAGTAAGGTTTTCATGGTCGACATCAGAAATATTATTTTCAAGATTCACATCATCCATAATAGGTGTTGTTATTGAATAAAACGTATGTTCTTGTCCATTAATTCGATCCTATTTAATAAAATTTAAAATCTAAATTACTAACAGTATTACCAAAATTATATTATTCATTTCAAACGTTTCTGTATTTAAAGGGCATAAGATGGCGCGCCCACAAAAATCTTCCCATTTCTCAATCGCTGAGTGTAGTAAACATGGTGGATAAACAAAGTTTATCAATTCTTCTCGCGAGTTAACACAAATGCTAACAGGGAGTTGAACTCGGTCATCAGCATCGTTCAAAACACCAGTTCCGATACATTTCAATAAAGTTCGATATTGTTCTTGTCCAGGTTGTAAGCGAAGATTAGATTTCAATTTTCTTGTGACAAAATTTTTGAATAGTACTGTATTCTTAACCGAAGCATCGAATTGATGCAGTAAAGTTCCACCAGCGACTACCGGGAGTAACTGTTTCCAATCTCCTCCAATAACAACACACTAAAAATTTTATTCTATGTAAAATATTATTTGTAAATTTACTTTTCCACCAAACGGTACATTCTTAAGCGGTCTAGGAGCAACAGATCGAAATAGGCGATCAACAAATTCTAACACATCCTTGTGTTGCATACTCACTTCATCAATAATAATTCCATGTAACTTCCGGAGTGTATCAGCGAATTGACCTCGGTAATCGACAAAAGGCTGTGTAGAAGAATCCACATGTTTTTGCCGGCAAAGTCTTTTATGTACAGTGGCTCCTCCATAAAGAAGTTCTGCTGCAATACCAGTACTTGCCATTGGCATAATCATGAATTCATTAGCGTGTAAAAAAGCAATCAACTTCTATAAATTTATTTTATAAACGGAATCGCATTAAACGAACATACATTGTACATGAACGTTTTTCCTGAACCGCCTTCTCCAGTAATAAAGAAGTAACGTGGAATATCAGTTGCAAAGGATGGTTCTTCGCCGTCGATGACGTGACGGGCGCTCCACATGCCTCTAACAATTTCATCAATGAAATGCTGCTGTTCCTCAGTTGGGCGAGGATCGTTATAAAACAAACGAAGGTAATAATCTTGTGTTGAGCCTCTCTGGTGTTGTTCTAAGAAAGGACTATCAACATGTGTTCTTATCAACATTTCAGGATCAATTTCGGCATCGTTAAGCAGTTCTGGCTGAATGTTTCGAAGCGATGGACGTGGAAGTCTGTAACAATAAAAATAGATGCACTATAATCTGATATATACCGAATTCTCTCACAAGCCGTTTCAAATGTACCGTCATCTCTTTCAATCTCATCAGGGCGTATCCCATTTGCTCTTAAAAACCATTCAATATTGCACAAAACATAGTCACGGCGTGTCTCAAAATCCAATTGAGCAACGCGTGTTCCATACTAAATTAAAATAAAACAAAATATTTAATATAATACATACAAGCCAATCTTGCGGCATTTGAATTACATAGTCAAGCAAAGCAGTTGGATTTGTTAAATTTGTGGAACCAAAGAACATGGCAAGCCAACGAATGCGCTGTTGGATGCGCTTATTAGAATCAAATGCCTCTTGAATTGTTCTTCTCCAAATGATATCATCAGACATTAGCCCTCGAGCCTTGGCAGCTTCTAAAAATGTTGAGTAGACAACATCTTCAAAAGTGCGCAGGTCCTCCCAGCAAGTGGGATCAACAACAACAGTTAGCAAAATCTAAAAACAAAATTCATCTTAAAATATTATTTTTATTACTCTAATTGCAAGCAGCTCTAAATTCGTTGGCGAAACTGTCCGAATTCGGCAAAGCTTCTTGTGATGTTGATATACAGATAATTGCCAGTTCTTTTTGAGCACATTATAGTTTAGTTGGCGATATGCATTTCCATAAGTCAAGCCAGCAGGTGGTTCACCAATTAAGTGTCTTTGACGATTAAAATCGAAATAGGCAGTTAATTGGGTGCGGCGTTCTTCTCCTTCATTCAATTGTCTTTGAACTTCCTCAGCAATCTCCAATTCTCTTCCTTCTTCAACAGCAACATGATGACCCTGAGGTCCGTGAATATCAAGTTCATCAACCTAAACGAAATAAATAGAAAAAGAAATAGAAAAAATAAATACAATATGTGATCTAACAACCAATTTTGTACCCCAAATGGACAAAAAAGCCTCCATAGAAGTTATGTATCTAGCAAGACGCAGTTGGTGAAATTCATCATAGCGCCAAGCACCCCCTTCAATTCCTTCTTGTTCAATTTTAATAAAAGCCATATCTGCACCCTTCATCACATACTTAGTCACGTATTTTACACATCCATCTCCAGCTACAAGTTCAACATTTATACTAAATAACAATGTTAATTATATCTAAATAATAAAATACTGTGATCGGTATTTTGACAGAAGAAAATGGTTGTAAGGAACAACATATTGATTTGTAACAACATGTTGCTTGCCATAACGATCAACATATTTATGTATATTTCCAAACATTTCAGGATTACTTTTGCGGGCATTCTCCGATGTTGGTGGAGGGCGTCGTCGATATTTAGGATAAGCATTGTCAGAATAGATATTATTGTCGGAATAAGCGTGCTAATTTAAGAATATAAAATAGTAAATTCAAAAATTCTTACAGGAAAACGTTTGGCACATCTTATTCTATCTCGCATGCAATGTTGGTTACAAGTGTGAACATGTTTTGTAACAACAATTTGATGTAAAAGCCTTTGAAGATTTGCCGATTCAGTGCGATCATTTGGTCGAGGTAAATCCGGTATTTCCGCAGAAATATATTGCTCCATATATTCTTCTTTAGATGTTACTTGACCAGACTTTCGCATCTTTTCCCAATCCAGGATAACGGCGAAATGAACATGAGGAAGTCCACTAAAAAGCATAATTAATATATAAAGAATAAAAACCGCTTCTGGTGTTCAAGACTATGAAACCAAGCTTTAACTGGGCCAAGAACTCCTCGTTCAGTAATATCTTTCACAAGTTCAGCGAGCTTATCAAGAAAAATGCGGCAGACTTCCATTGGGCGATCTGACCAGTTTTGATGTTCAAGAAGCATGTTGCTTAACTCTGGTGCAGAAGGGTCCATAGTGTACGTGATGAGCAGATCGATCGATCCAATTTCCCTGCAGATGGTCATGCAAGCAGCATACTGCTTTTGGTAATATTGTCTTGATCCTCTAAAATGTTCATTCGTCATGTACACTTGGCCAATGGGTCCTTGCAATCCTATAATTTCTATTATAATTATAAACAGGTTTATATGCCTTGTTTTTTCAATAGGTGTTTGAGCCAGTCCAACAAAGCAGCCTGGCGTACATAACGATACTTCCCTTGCAGCTGTTTCATGTATTGGACTTTCTGAGCCTCCATTCTTTGATTGTACGTGATTGTGTAAAGTTGTGACAGCTGACCCCACTCCCAAAGCCAATGTGGTCCCTTCCAAGAGCTTCCTCTCTGTTGACACATGTACCGAAAATATTGAGCTCTCGAAACATTTTCGCGTTGATGATCTTCGCGAAGGTCAACATCATGCAGAAATTCCTCTCCTTCACCAAGATCAATTTCTGGGTCGAGATCACCGTCTTCTCCAACAATTACACGTCTACTTCTCAGAAAATTCTCTCCTGGTCGCAAGATAAGCTTCATACCATTTTCTTAAAATATTTTGTTATATTAAATTACGCAATATTAGTAACCAAATCCATTTTGTCCTTTTGGAAACAGAAGAGGGAAGCAAGCTGCATCAGCTGCACGGTGCCACCATTTTAAAGAGACTTGACCAGTTCCTTTTTGTCCAGTAAGAATAACGTCATATTTTGCTTCGGGTGGCACATTTTCCCCATTATCCAAATAAAACTGCGCGACAAGTTGACTACCAGCAGCGGTTTCAACACTAAGACGTCCGGGATGAATTTGGCGTAAATGTGAAGCATCAGATGGGTTTATATCGATTGAAGGAACCTAAAAAGTATACTATTTTAATAAACTATATTAAACAACATTTTCAATAGTGCGCTCTGTTCCGCGTTTATTGGCATCAACTACAAGCATTCGAAATTGAAGTTGCATGTCGGCCGACAGATCTTGATAAACGTCAGAGGCAATTTTGAATAGTTCTGCCATCCAATGATTTTGTTTTAGAATATTAAACAACTCTTGAAGTATGATTGGCTAAAAACAAAAAATAATTTAAAAATTTGTATAACTTTACAA